GTTGAGTGATTCTCCAGCTTGGGCTCCTCATAGGTGATTGCTAAAGGGTTCGAGAGGAGGAGGGGGAGGGGTGTATTGTCGTAAAAATACACCCGTCCCCCTCCCTTTCCCTAAATCCTTATGACATTTTCTTATTAGGCCACATTCACGCGTGGGAATCCTGACCTGGATTGCTTCCATCAGTAATACTTACACTGCCCCTCCTTAGCAAACGCACCTATGACCTTTGCATAGAAGTCTGAACCAAAGGGGCATTGTCAGAGCTTGAAGCACTCCCATGTTCCTCAAAACTTTTGTCTTCCAGATTTGGACGATGCGTGTGCCACTGAACCATGTGGTTTGCATGGGACGTGTATTCCAATTCCAAAGCAACATAGTCATAATCTAGGCTATATTTGCAACTGTACCCATGGATTTTCTGGAAAGACCTGCGATGGTAAGCACTATTTATCAGTTACCTTATTCCGAGTATCACTGTGAACATTTCAGACGTTGCACCATCATTTCTGGCTCGAATCTCGCTGATAGAACTGATTATCGCAGTGGCGATTCTCGTCCTTATCATAGCCGTCATCTTTGCTATCACAATTGTCTGCAAATGTCTGAGAGTGAAGAGGTAATCAGTTGAAGCAGTCGTTGTGGTGGGAAGTGTTATTGATTTTTTTATCGATTACTTTATTTAGTGAGGATGGAAAGTACGGCGAACATGTACATGCTGTGGCCCATGTGCGTAATCCGCATGTGGTGCCACCACCAGTTGCATCAGCACCACCTCCGTTACCACCAAGAGCATTCCGTGGAGGAAATCAGATGATATCGAACCTTGAACAGGCTCAACTGACTGGTCTACCGACGGTGCAGGTAAGGTCTAGAGTTGGGCCCATGGGACGCGTGCGGTTGCAGAGCGGCCAAGGCTTTCTAATGGATGAGCTTTCCTCATTGCCGAACGTCCTTGTGATCGCGTGTTCGGTGTATTTATTTCGAAATAATCCCTATCGTTTTCAGTGTAAAGTAGGCGTTTATTACATTAATGATGGTTAAGGTACGCCCACTGCCACAACGTGAACGCCTTTCGTCCAGTGGTCGGGGCGACTCACGATCGCCATCGCTTGTCGGTACAGGGAAACAGTGGAAGCGCGCTACGGATTATGGCAGCGCTGCAGACGATTTAGACGAGGTCAGTGTCACAGCCCTTTGTGGTTAACAAGTATTCTTACGTCGTCCCTTGGCCTTCCGCTGAGCAAAACTACCGACTTAGCGCGCACTTGTTTGCTGTTTTATCCACTAGCTGATTGGGAAAATTAGAACTTTGGTTTCAAATGTGTGCTGGTCAGTAGTATGGGGTGGTGTCATTAATCAGTAAACGGGAGCCTCAGTGGAGGTCCAGAGCCCCCAAATATTCGTGGATGTTGCCGGAAGTTCTTAGGAGTGTCTGCTCCAGTGCCTACCATATTTTGCTTCCGCCTTTGAAAATTATTCTGTTTAGTCCGGACGAGTTTCCTCGCACGACTCCAGCGCTATGGAAGCGTTGCGTCGTTTTGGATTCCGTGTTACCGAAGAAGATGACCCAGGACGTCCGTCGAGCGGCAAAAATCGTGCTCGAGTGAACGATCGCCACCCGGTAGTCGTTACGAGGGACGCCCTCTCTGCACTGAACCAAGAAAGGTGGGTTAAATACCGTATGCTGCTGCGAACGCCGTATTACCATGAATCAACTCAAATCTTTTTCCAGGACTCCACTGGCTGAATCGATACAGTGCTTGCCGACAACTGAAGGTGATGACGATGGCGGCGAGAAATGGGGTGATGGAGTTGATCGTATTGGAGCGGCCATACAAATGGAACGTATGAGGTAGGGAATTGTTTTATAAGAAAGGCAGAATGCCCAAAGACTTTCAAAACAGGCACACAAAGCTGTGTTATGGTTTCGGAATCTCAACGAGTATTTTTTGCCTTGCAGGAATCGAATCTCTGACTGTCGCGGTGAAAGTGGAGAAACCGTTTTGAGCCCGGTGATCAACGATGACGACTATATGACGATGCGACCGCGTCGGAGTTTGGCGACATCGAGCGAATCTCAGCGGCGACCGCTTCTGAACAACGGTGACGATAGTGATGGTAAGTTTGAAGATAATCGAATCAGTTGGAAAAAAAGTAATAATTGTAAAAGCCTGGTTTTTTGGAGGGAATGAAAGGCGCAAGCCGCGACGGGATCCTATAGCGCCGGAGCAGTTTCAAACACGGAGAGATGGGACGAGACAGTCATTATTTTGTCGCTGTTGTCGGCGCGCGGTTGTCGCGAGCTGATGGAGCACAGAACGTGTATGTGCACAGGGTACCCCAGCATGGGGATGTGCGAAATGATCGTTTGAGTACCCCCCTTCGAATGGGGTCCAGCACGACCCCCCCCCTCCACCTCCACGGCTTTTTCGCCGACGACGAGCAATGAGTATATAGTCGGCGAAAAAGTTGTCGAGCGGGGGGGGGGGGGATACAATAACTATGCAACGTATATCCCACGGAATTTGTCTTACAGATACGACCCCCTCCCCAGAGCAAAAGTACGACCTCCCTCCGCCCCCATTGGTTTGACACAACGATGCTGTACCCTAGATGTGCATCAGTACGTTGACTGGAGCAGGAAACTCGTAGGCAGCGTTCAGACTTCGCGACGGCAGCGCTTCGGTCGCGCGTTCGACGCGATCAATGCAGTCGAAAGCATGCGCATCGATCGCGTCGATGCGCGACCGAAGCTCTGTCGTCGCGAAGTCTGAACGCTTCCTTAGGCACAGAGAAGACCGTATAACAATCGATATCTAATTTTCCCATCCTTTTGATTTTGACAGTCATATGGAAACGGCCAGGTATGACAACTCGTCCATTGGGCACAGCGTCGCTCGCCACGCCCACAGGGCGGCAAATGACGATTGTCTTGTCACATATCCGTTCAGCACTCATTACTCGGCATTCTTGTGAAAACTTGAGGAGCTCGCAGTGGGGCTAAGCAGCGATTCTCATAGTCTTCCAGGACCTAAGAATCTATATTGCAGGTACTGACGATGCGGTACTGACCAGTCAAGCGCCACCACCACCAAGTCACAAAAATGTGTTTAATTCTCGAATTTACGACGATCCGCCGACTCGTGGCGGCGGAGCTGGTGATACCGACTCGCTGGCTACGTCGCAGATTTGCGACATCGATGCCAGTGATGCCGATGAATTGTCTACCGATGCTATATTATAGGACTTTATCCAGATTAACGTACCCCTGTTGAGGCCATTTACTTTCGTACGTCTCTTTCGTACTTGTACGACCCTGTGATTTTAGCGGGCATTTCTTTTTTTTGAAATTTTCACATATATAGTTGCTTATTTTTGTTGTATGTTGTTGTATATGTGTGTGGTGTTCTATGTGTGCTTTCCTAATGTTCGCCAAGTATTGTCAACAGCACTTCTGCTCAGGTCTCGTTGGCGCTTGTGAATCACGACGTTCTCCCACGACGGGGTTACCAGTTATTCACAAAGTGCGTCCCCTTCGCCCAGTTTCACTTTTGCCTGCCCTCTAGGAGAGACGACATTTTTCTCGCTCGTATAGGTGCTCGATTATATTTTTGTATGTACTTCACTTTTATAATATCTATGTAATAGATAGATTCTCGTGAGTTTTAGGCATAATTACTGACAATTTCTAAAAAAATTCTTACTGACACATGTGACAAGGCATCAATACTGTATGTTATAGCGTTGTACGAGATTACAGGTATGTATTATAGGATGACCTCATCACAATTCAATCATCACTTCGTAATGTTGTTGATATAGAACCTCGTTAAGAGGCTATTTTGTCGACTAATAAATGGATTTACTAATTGGTTTAATGTTCCATGTATCGGAGTTAGGGTTTCCAAAAGGCTTGCTTGGATTCTAAGGGTCGAAAACGGTCACATTGCCATTTTTTTGCGTTTTTAAATAAGTTTGGCACGAACGTACCCTGAGGTTTTCTGGCTTTTCAAGACTATGGCACAAATTTAATCCGAGTTTTTTTTTGGTTGTATGAGTGAGCCATGAAGTCATTTCGAGCTTCCTGTTATTTCTGAGTTCTTTTTCCCTTCGAGAACGTATGCGGCGCGGCTGTGTCGCGTTCATTTTTATTAGTCGAGTTGATCTTGATCGCATCTTTTCAGCCACGTTCAAGTGATTTTTGTAGCAGAACAGCCCATGCCCTTCTTGGAGTCTTCTGGTTACGAGGCAGCGTTTAGGCTTCACGATGACGCGCGTCGACGCGCTGCCATTCCAATGGCGTTGTCATGCTATAAACGAGAACTTAGCCATAGACGGATGTCGATAGGCTGCGGCTTCATATAGGACAGGGGCGGCGCGGGACGTTAGCCTTGCTCAAACTGTGTTTGGTACCCTCCTATTATCCTTTTTTCTTCTCAAAACACTAGCGGCCGGCGCTGATCGATAACAGCTGCAAGCATTGGGCCACTGCAACGGTAGCGCGTCGACGCGCGTAACCACCAAGTCTGAACGCTGCCCTATCATTAGTTTTCTGAAAGAAGGTGGCGCCGTTTACTCTGAGCCCAGTCCGTTGGTCATAATCCTGTACTGTAAGCGTGGCGTCCGCGTGTGTTTTGAGCCTGGTGCAAACGCGGCCTTTCTAATGAAATGAAAGTGTTATACAAAGTTGTCCCTGCAGAAGTCCCTGCACGACCTCATCTTCAGATGCATAATGTTCGACTAATGCAAGGCTCCCCTCATGAGAAATGTAGATCAAACTCCCCATAGTCCTAAGATAGAATTTATTCGAAACGATTTCATAACGCCTTCCAAATCAGTCTTTGAAGTTAAGGCTCAATGGCATTAATTTGTAGCAATAAACACTTGTATTTAAGTAGCTTGAAAAAAAGCGGTTTATTTATTCGAAACGATTTCATAACGCCTTCCAAATCAGTCTTTGAAGTTAAGGCTCAATGGCATTAATTTGTAGCAATAAACACTTGTATTTAAGTAGCTTGAAAAAAAGCGGTTTAAGAACGATGACTTCTTAAGGACTGGGTCCAACCTGGATCCGAATCTGAATTAAAATTGATTACTACTCACTAGGCGCGTACTCCCTTTCTGATGACAAGAACTACTTTTTTTCACGAAAATTAGAGTTGATTATTCTCCCGAAAGGGAACGTTTCCTTCAGAAAGCAAGCCCGCGAACAGATTAGTGGGTGGTAGGGATGCTAAGAAAGGGCAGGATAGGGATGCTAAGAATGGGTAAGGTGGAGAAAAAACAGAAGAAAATAGTCACCTATACCCCGAATAAAACCCTAGCGAACACACTTGTCATCAGAAATTACTAGAAAATTGCAAAGAACGGCCGACATTCTTCGGCAGGTTTTCTGTTATTTATGGTTGGGTAGAATGGTGCGCGGGATCAACGAGAGAGGAACAACGGCAAGGATGATCTCCTCCTCGCTTTTGCGCCTGCCCGATATCACCCCTTCCTGAGCTTAGGCAAAACCCCTCATGTATTGGCGCCCATTGCCATGATTTTGAACGCCGAGGATAATTTGGGACTTATTTCGATAGCGTTTTTGATTCTCTCGTGTTTTTCGTGGCAAGATAGTGAAGGGACAAGTGCCGCTTCACCGCGCGCGGGGTGCGGGATCGGCTTGTACCTAGTCAGCTAACAATAATACTTACATCCTTCTGCGGCTGTTACATTGGTAGCAGACTCGATGAACAAAAACATTAAATTGTTCATAAGATACCCCCCCGCGTGTTTTTTGTAGGCCATATCGCATTCAAATGCTGCTACGATTCTTAATGGAAGTAATGTGTGTGCCGCATCCCAAAAAGTGCTGATCAAATACTTTTCTTCTCTCATAATGTTTCATCAGCAAATTGTTTACTTCTACTAAATTTATTTATCATCTAGCTGTGCTAAAAGAAAGACAAACGTAGTCACTCACCGTCAATCAACAAGTTTTGTCTTGGGTCTACTCATCATTTTACTGATTTTGACTGTATCATCATC